CACTTTTTGTCAGGCGACATCCTCAAAGCCAATGCAGCAGAAGTGCCTTAAACTTGCATTCTTTCAAATGGTCAACAGGGGGCGTCTCCTCTAGTTGCCAAAATAAAGTCAGATTGCATAGAAGTCTATGACAAAAGGACACTTCTTCTCCCTTGATATATTGCCTCTGTTAACATTAGTTTATGATCTCCATTGATAGTTTTAAGTCTTCTTCAATACAACATGATGTTTATTTAGTAAATCATGGTCTAATTTGGAGTAAGAAACAGTATGCTCTAGGCATGCAATTTGCCTGTCGCCGACCGGCCCGTGCGACGTCAATGGGAAATTAGGAATAAAACATAAATACATTTACATGAAGTACGGAATATAGCTGCATCGCTTTAATTTTGAAAGCAACTGTTGCTGGGTTGTTTTCCCTCAATTTACGTACGTTAGTACGTTGGTGAATGTGTGCGAGCAGCAGCGCCACTGCAATGTGTTGGCAAACTGAGCTTACGGGATGTGTGAGTTAGCTGTTAGCCCTCAAAAATGTCAGCCTGTGTTAAAAAAAGAAATATTGATACAGAGTGTAGAGTTTTTAGCAAAACATGGCCTTCTAAGTATTTATTTACTGAAGTCAAAGGTAAAGCCACGTGCTTAGTTTGTGGAGAACAGATCGCAGTGTTAGATTACAATGTGAATCGCCATTACGAGACGAAACACACGGAGGAATACAAAAATTTGACTGATGCAGAGTGGACTCATCCAGCTCCGCTGTCACAAGGACAGATACAGGAGAACATTCCTGCCAACTGCAATTAGACTGTACAATAACCACACCGCTACAATGTTGTTTGTTTGCTGTTGGTTAATCTTTGCACTACTGTTTATTTAGTTAATTTAATACTATACTATTTTATTGTTGGAATGCTGTTAAGCATTCCAACTATTGTTATCCTGTTTCTCTTTATTCAACCTTTTATATTTCTTCCGTCCCCCCTCTTCTTCTTCTTCATTTTTTAAGCTACAGAAACCGTTCAACTATCAAAATGTTCAGCTCTTTCAGCTCATGTCTGCTATGACTTTTCATATTTCTAACCTTTAAACATTTTGAATTATTAAGCTTTTTGCAACTTTTTTTTTTTGAATGGGATGTCTATGGAGAACATTTTCAAATCCTCTTAAACTTTTTCAACTTTCAAATCCTTCTACTTCCTCATACTTTCAGCTACAGACACCATTTTAACTTTCAAATGTTGAGAAAACCCTGATCTATTGCCGCAAAATTCAGCTTTCTGATATCTTTTAAACTTTTTGAACTGTAGCAATTTAACTTTTATGTTTTTTCAGCCCTTTTCTGACTTTATAATGGGTGTGTATTGTGCAGCTTAGAGTGCGTGATGTCACTGCTAGAGTGAAGAGCAGCTTGAGATTCTTGTGAAAAAAACATTTGTCTTTTGCCACTCTTCACTCTTCATGCATAATTTGTGGATTTAAAAGTAGCTAATCTTGTCCTTGTCGTAGACAAATGACTGTGGAATCCCACAGATTTACACATTTGGCACAGAAGCCTGTAATTGAGAGGAAAACCAACTTTCTGCTCCATAGAGACCAATGTTAAATTTTGCTTCAAAAACATCTTCCACAGAACACGGTACCCCATTTCTAGATCGCCAGTTCAGCCACATTTTTTACACTACAGACACAATTTTTACAGGATCTGTTCTTCAACTCATCCTTCCTCTCATTTTTTAATATCGGAGCAATAGGAGCTACAGTTATGGGAGTTTTGAGGATTTGTTTGAGAGGTGTTTCCCTGTTTTATCTCCATGAAAAGGCTGCAAGGACACAGGTGTTTCTGATTAAGCTAATTAGTGATGTTGGTAAACACAGACTCACAGACACACATGCACTCCTCTCCCTCTCTCTCTCTGTGTCTCTCTCTCTCCCTCTCTCTCTCTCTCTGTCCTTGTCTCTCTCTCTCATACAGTCATTCAGGTCTTAGAGCTTTTTACAGGACCCCCCTCCCCCCCCCACACACACACAGCCCATTTTAAAATAAAAGCCCCAGAGAGTGAACTCTAACTGAAATGCTTGTGATGAAGCCTGTCATTTAATAACCTCTGTTTATGTGTCAAACATTAAGAGTATGTCTCCTCTCCCCACCCAGTCCCACCCTTTCAAAATAAAAGCCTCATAGATTAACTATTTAAACGTTAAGCTCAAAATTAGGCTTTTTTGTTGAAATAATGAATGCTCTTACTAATACTGCGACTACTACTACTGCTGCTAATATTTCTAGTGTTACTACTACTTCTACTGCAACTTTTGCTGTTGCTACTATTACTACTACTACTACTGCTATTACTACCATCAATATTATTACTACCACTATAACTACCACTATTACTACCACTACTACTATTACTTATACTACAACTGCTACTACTATTACTGCTATTCCTGCTACTACCAGTACTAATACTAGTACAGCTATTAGTAAGACTGCTACTAGTACTACTACTCCTGCTATTACTGCTATTTCAAAAACTGACTTTACTATTACTACTACTACTACTTCTTCTACTACTGTTATATTAAATACTACGACCACTACTACAGCTATTACTACGACTACTGATACTACTGCTAATAATACTTCTACTACAACTACAACTTCTAGTACTACTACAACAAATATCACTACTGCTGAAAGTCTTTAAGCTACAGAAACCGTTTCAATATCAAAATGTCCAGCTCTTTCAGGAGAGGTGTGATATGACTTTTCATATTTGTAATTTTTTTACTTTTTGAATTATTAAGCTTTTTGCAATTGTTTTTGAATTGGATATCTATTTTCAGCAATGTTTTTACAATTAATTTCAGTTTTCAGCATTCCAACGCATTTTCAGCAGGAAATGCATTTTCTAGTTGTATATATTGTGCATTTTTATACTTAATATTTTTATTTTTTACTCTGTCACTTTGATAGTATATTTTTTATATATATATATATTTTTTGCTGCTGTAGCGAACAAATTTCCCCTTGCGGGATGAATAAAGTATCTATCTATTTATCGACCTACAAATGTGAACAAACGTTCTCCGTGATGAAGTTTAACAAATCCAGATCCTCTCTCACTGACGATCACCTGTCAGCTGTCCTTCACAGCTCCACCTCAGACATTCAACCTGACTTCAGCGCACTCGTTCAACCCAACACAGACTAGAGTTCTCGCACTGAACTGAAAGATAGAAAATGAGGTAATTGGACTACAAACAATAGTAATAAAAGTACTAATTTTGAAGAAACACGATCCCTGTCTGTGTTTTACAAGTATATATGAATATTACATATCTATATTTTGTTGTATCATTATTCCTGCTGCAGATGTTTAAGGTGGAGCTCATTTTATCTCTTGTGGCCCCTTGGTAAAAATAATTGCCCACCCCTGCTCTAGGGCCTATCCTACCTTGTGATTGACAGGTCGCTGCGACGGCCCCCTCCGTTTGGGTGTTCGCTTTTTCTTCTTACCACTTTAATCCTACACAGTGTGTTTTCAGTTAATTAAAGTTAATTGTAACCGTTTTGGTTGCCTAAAATGTTTTATTCAGCATTTGATTGTACTTAACTTCACCTTCTCTTGTCACTTCTGGTTGTGAAAAAAATGAGGTCCATTTCTCATAGCAGTCTATGTTTTTTGTCACTTAAGTTCAGGAAGTCTCATAAGTGCTTCTACAATGGTGACATTTCAGATGTTCACAAATGTATCCAAAATGGAGCAAAACGTATGCATCTTATCCATTTTAGTTGACACCCATCACTCATTAAATGGGAACAAAATGCCCACACCCTGCACAAACCTACTTTTCCAAGGTCAACCCTTGGACCCAACAGGCCCAGGTGCTGGCTCATTTATGACAGGACCCCTTTCTGCAGAATGGGTTCTTCTGACAGCCTCACGCTGTTGGAGAGTGACAGAATTAGTGTCATATTTAGTCTAGATATGGTTTTTGTGTGTAAAATTTTTGCCGTCAACAATTATCTCTCCACCAGAGCGCCACAGAGAGCACCATGGTGGCCATACTCTGCTCACCTCACCCGGCACATCTTCACCACCAGAGATAGTTGTCTTATTAATAATTGTCAGTTTCACACGGTTTCACGTCATTCAGATGCAGAGAGCATCAGTGTTTTTGTTTTGTTTTTAGGAAAAAGCCCGACTACCAAGGACCGGACGCCATTGACCTTATAGCTGTCTACGGAGGCGATTGTTATGACTGATTTTTCTTCTATCCTTGTAAAACCCAGTTTGTGTTTTAGACCAAAATGTAAAGGTATTTTAGCTGCAGAATGTTGTAAGAATATGATGTGCACTCGTTGGAAATCAATACGCAAGTAAAAAAACATCACCACTGGTAGTTTGGTTCTTGGATGAAGACCTTTGCTGAACCACTGGTTTCATTATTATTCAGTCCTATGGCAGGACATACTGTATAGCAATTTTCTGTAATTTTACTTTGATTGATCCTTCCATTGGCTCACCAGTGCCTTTATACTCCTCCCCAGTCCCTCTACTTCTCCTTCCACCTCCCTCTCCATCAGATTACATGGGTTACTTTTCCATTACTCTCATTTCCCCTTTCTTCTTCAGTCCAAAGCCACCCTCTCTGTTTCCCCTCAGCAAGGAGTGGGCCCAGTGCTGCTTAGCAACAGCTAACCCATTTGGACCGGTCAGTACTGGCCCCTCCTACTTATTTGGGGGGTGGAGGTTAGGTTACCCCCTCTCCCACCCTGACACACACACACACACACACTAGCTCTCTGTAAACATAGATATGGGACTGACTTTCCCCCCTCCACACTAGACTTTGAGGAAAGTGTGTGCGTGTGTTTCTTGTTACTGCAGCACTAACAGTATGCTCGTGTTTCAGAACCAAAGAGGGAGGTGTATCGCTCTCCCTCGCTCTCTCTTGTCTCCTCCCTCTCTCTCGACCATCGTCACAGTCTGCGTAGTCTTACCTCGCCTGTGCTCACACACACTCTTTCACACACAGAAGTAATGGGATAAGATACGACGTGCAGTGCAGTGCAGCGAGGAGGATTTGTGTCGAGGTGGGAAGCCAGGAGTGTGAGTGTTGAGTTTCCATGATTTTTATCTGGATGTGTTTTTCTGCGGCAGTGAAGTCTGAAAAGAAGCTGAGAGTAAGTTGTGGCTGTGGCAACAGTTATGCACGAGATCAGGACGTGTGTATTGTGGGTTTTCCACTTTGTGTGTGCGTGTGTGTGTGTGTGTGTGTGTGTGTGTGTGTGTGTGTGTGTGTTCTGGAGAAAAGGTCTATTAGAAAGTAAATGGTACACTTTGAGATGTTGGCTGGTGCAAAACAAGTCGATCATTTAACATGAACTTGTGTCTGCAAGCAAATTTTTTTCTACAAAATAGTATAATTACGATACATTTGGATGGCATGTCGATTTTTTAAGTGTTTGAACTTTTTCCTCTGGTGTATGCTTCCCATTTTTCAGTACAGTGTTGAGAAATCCTGCAAGTTAATGTAAATGCCCAGGGCAAATTCCTGTATATTTGATCGTGATAAGAAAATAGTAATTGCAAAGGTGATGGTGCTTTGGCCAAACTGAATATACAAAGCAGTCCTATGGTCTTTCCTCTGGTGGGTTTGATGGTTTCCAGATGCTTTGTTGAGATGATTGAAAATGCAACTGAATCCCTTTTAAAATGTACGTAGGCTACGTGCAGTCGAAGCATTGTTTCACTGACTGCATGTGGCGGGTTTACAGTTGTCTGTGTTTCAGTGCGATTTAACATAAAGGCCAATGCAGACTTACATTCCATGCTTACAATATCAATTTTGTGAAATCCAAATTACTAATGTCAACATCTTTGTTCAAAGTAGCTAATAGGCATACATTTAAATTAAAATGTTTTTAAGTTCAGGCACGAGACCTTAATGTAAGTAATGAATTAAGTCGAACAACTTAATAACAAGTGATGATTATCATCGGAGGATGACATAACCTTCTAATGATGCAGGAGCCGAGGCGTCACTGTTCCAAGAGCAGGCTCAGTCTGTATAAACAGGATCACACAGCAGTTTAGAAAGCAGCATCTAACAGAGGCAGAGAGAGGCATCATAGGAGCAGTGAAAGACTGAGATGTCTCTGATGATTTGAAAAGCTCCATATTTGTAGGTCATATTTTATACAATGACATTTTTGAAACAATTGCCAACAGGGCTTGTTCACAGGGCTGAGTGAGTTCTCCTTTCAGAAATTTGGTTCAGAAACACTATCAGACTGTGTAAACATTTCTGACCATGTATGGACAGATTACGTGTACTTGTCCTATATTTCAATGATGGGAAACACTTCATATCCACCCTCACAAGCACAAGCAGGGCTCTTTAGGGAGCAGTACCAAATACTGGGCAAGTTGGAACATTTACCAGAATCATAATGAATTATGGCCTAATAATATGGGTTGTGGTGAATGACCTATCTCAACCCTGTTTTCTACTATACTTTATTGCAATTTGGCCATTTTTGTTTTGATTGCCGATCATTAATATTCTGGGTAGAAGTAAATAGCGTCCTAGTTTACCCACTTGTATAGCTAATCACTACTACAGTACGTCACTGCAACCGTCCAAATGAGTCCTCGTCCACTGCCATATATCCAGCTATTGATCCATTAAGATAGTGGTGGTATCAGAGCTGGAGAGGGACAGCTAGCTGGTTATGTCTCTCACCACGCAGTTCCTCTACCATCCTCTTTGAGGAATCATAGTGTGTGTATACTCACAATACACACACAATACACACACCCTGTCAGTAGTGTCATGTTTCCTGCTGCAACCTCACATGCACTGTTTCTGTCACGTCAGAATAAAATGAAATGCACATCCAAACATGCTCTCCCCGGTAAACACATGCACACCTCCGCAGTGACTGTAGGCGGGAATGACACAAGCTGGTTATTAAGTCACTCACACAGTCGCAGTCTCTCAGAATGACTAAGCAGTCCGTTTATTTCTATGGCAACCACTTTTCCTGCATCGGGGGTGTCCTTTGTGTGCGATGCAGCGATAAGCTGAGAGTAACTTCGACTGCTGTCTTTCATATACAGCTTTGTGTGTCATGCCTGATGTGTGACTGTGTGCAGTGATACCAGCTCTGTGTCGGTGTGTGTTGCTGTAATGTGATGCAGTGGTGGCGTTTGCCAAGTATTTCTATGAAGGAAAGGTGAGCCTGCTGCCTCCTGCCTGTTAACGAGCTCCATGGTTGGCTGTGTCCCCGGCCGCCAAAAAAATGCGCACTAAGTGAAGTACCCAAGTACAGAATATTGCATGTATATTAAAGCTTGTAATGAGTTTTTTTTAATTTAAATGTTATGTGATAGTAGTTTGAGAAGGTTCAGCGAAGTGATTTCGCTTTTTTCAACTGATGAAAAACCAAGCAGTTAACAGAAAGTATCACTGTCCTTCAGTTAATAATATGATTGTTCAAGTTTAGTGTCTTCCAATCATGTTAGTTGTGCTGACTGTACTAAATGTACATTTGAAAGCAGTGGCAGAGATGATGCTCTTATTAAAGCTGTATCTCTTCAATTGTCCACTTGCCACTACAGTCAAAAACTATTTAATCCCACTGTCACTGTGCCACCTCAAATCTAGACAAATAAGGCAGGTATTGCTGTCTCAACTCATTCGCTGCTCTAGGGGTACCCCTTTAGCATCAGTTTTAGTCAGGGACGGCGTGTCAATATATGCTCATTATATGCATAGTGTCTTTTGAAACATTTTGGCTTTACAGGAATTTAGGTTTAGGCAACAAAACCACTTTAGTTAGGTTTAGGAAAAGACTGTAGCTGTGTCTCAATTCAGTGACTGCATCCTTCGGAGGCTGCATTTGTAGACCGGTTGCATCACAGCGGCTGCGACTAAGCTATCCCATCTCAAAGACTCCTTCAAATGGAGCCAACGAATACAGCCTTCAGCTCCCAGATTCGGAGGACACATCTGATGTATCCTTCGCGGCCCAGCATATCCCAAGATGCATTGCGTGGTGATAAATTATTTATTTTAACCAACATCGCGGCCATTGAAGCGGCAGCTGGAGAAGCCGCAGTATTCACTTTTAACCCTAACCCTAACCCTTTAAACTTATAGAAAATAATATAAAGTATATGCATATGTGTTACTGCAAGTTAATAAACTAATTTGCTGACATTTGTTTTGGTTAACTGTCTTGATTAATCTCCTCTGCTTTAGGATTGCAAGTATCTTTTCTCTACAAGAAAGATTCATTGATAAATACATATGTATACATGTGTGTATGTATATATGTGTGTATATAATCCCTTCCCCCCGGTCCCCCATGCTTGTCAGAACCCCCTTTCTTCAGGAAACAGATGAGAAACAGACAGGATATACGTAGCAACAGTGTTTTTAGCCGGGAAACGGGGAATTATGCCGTTCTTTTCAACAACATTGAAACATATTAAAATTTACAGTAAAATATAAAATAAAGTGCACAATCGAACAGATAACAGGACTATAAACAAGTGAGATGTAAGTGTAATGTAAAAGTGTCGAGTGTATTTAAATAAGAAACCTTGAAGGGATGTACAGCGGAGTGACCGGTAGGAAATTGTCCTGGGATGACAGAGTCAGTGGGGGTCCCGGGCTCTGTTAATGAGCCCGACTGCGGATGGGAAGAAACTGTTTGTGTGTCATGAGGTCTTGGTCCTGATGGACCTCAGCCTCCTGCCAGATGGAAGGGACACAAACAGTTTTTGTCCAGGGTGAGAGGGGTCGGCTCGCTTCAGGGTCCTTGAGGCGAATAAGTCCTGGAGGGACGGCAGATTGCAGCCAAGCGGCAGAGCGAATGATGCAGACCGTGATGGAGGAGCAGAGGATGGACTTAATGATGGCTGTGTAGAAGTGCACCATCATTGACTTTGGCAGGTTGAATTTCTTCAGCTGCCTCAGGAAGTACATCCTCTGCTGAGCCTTCTTGGTGATGGAGCTGATGTTAAGCTCCCACTTGAGGTCCTGGGTTATGATGGAGCCCAGGAAGCGGAAGGACTCCACAGCGTCGACGGGGGAGTCACACAGGGTGATGGGGGCTAGTGATGCTGCATTCTTCCTGAAATCCACAACCATCTCCACTGTCTTTAGAGCGTTGAGCTCTAAGTTGTTCAGACCGCAACAGGTCACTAGATGGTCAGTCTCCCACCTGTAGGCGGACTCATCTCCACCAGAGATGAGTCCAATGAGGGTGGTGTCATCCGCGAACTTCAGGAGCCTGACGGACTGGTGACTGGAGGTGCAGCTGTTGTTGTACAGGGAGAAGAGCAGAGGTGAAAGAACGCAGCCTTGGGGGGGGGGGGACCGGTGCTGATGGTCCGGGAGGCTGAGACGTGTTTTCCCAGCTTGACGTGCTGCTTCCTGTCAGACAGGAAGTCTGTTATCCACTTGTTATCCAGTCTGTGCCATTTTTGCCCAGTCTCTTTGTTATTGTTGAACCATGAACACTAAGGCAAGTGAGGCCTGCAGTTCTTTAGATGTTCTGGGGTTTTGAATGACCTCCTGGATGAGTCGTCGATGCACTCTTGGAGTAATTTTGGTAGGCCGGCCCCCCCTTGGAAGGTTCACCACTGTTACACGTCTTCTCCATTTGTCGATAATGACTCTCACCGTGGTTCGCTGGAGTCCCAAAGCCTTAGAAATGGCTTTGCAACCCTTTCCAGACTGATACATGTCAATTACTTTGTTTCTCATCAGTTCTTGAATTTCTTTAGAAAACCGGCATGATGTGTTGCTTTTTGAGATCTTTTAGCCTACTTCACTTTGTCAGACAGGTTATATTTAAGTGATTTCTTGATTCAAGAGGTCCGGCAGTAGCCTGGGTGTGGCTAGTGAAATTAAACTCGGCTTTCCAAAAAATGTGGTTAATCACAGTTCATTCATGATTTATCACGGGGGGGGGGCAATTACTTTTTCACATAGGGCCAGGTAGGTTTGGATAGCTTTTTTCCCTTAATAAATTAAATCATCATTTAAAAACTGCATTTTGTATTTACTCGATTTATCTTTGTCTAATATTAAAATTAGTTTGATCATCTGAAACATTTAAGTGTGATAAATATGCAAAAAAAATAAGAAACCAGGAAGGGGCAAATACTT